GTTTCATCACAAGAACATCTGATCCAATCAAATTAACTAAATCAAGGAAAATAAAAGTCTGACAATGATAACGATGTTTTACAAAAAAAAAAAGGTAGTGAATGAACATTTTCATCTTAAATCTCTACCAGACGACATATTCGCTGAAAGCAAAGCTATTTGTCACCACTGCGAACTAGTATCTCATCACCAGAGTACTACGAGCCTGAAGTACTACGAGCCTGAAGTACTACCAGCCTGAAGTACTACGAGCCTGAAGTACTACCAGCCTAAAGTACTACCAGCCTGAAGTACTACCAGCCTGAAGTACTACCAGCCTGAAGTACCACTTAAAGTGACGTGAGTCACGTGTTTTGTTGAAGACGACCTGGAGAGTCACGTCTTTGTGTGTGGAAGTCGCTGGTTGCTTTATTTATTGATCATGACTTTATTGCCCCGTGCATCCACACTGCTGCTTTCCATCACGGACACATTTGTCCCGTATTTTCCTCCACGACTTTGTCCCCTCGTTTGTGGAGATCTCCCTCCATGAATCAGAGGCCATCCGGCGTCCTCATAGTCCGCCAATGACGGCTTGTACAAGTGCTCATATTTACGCGTTTTCAGGGCGCGACCGACGCTGCTGCAGCTTTAATTGTTAAATGAAACCTAAACTTTTTTTAGGCCAACAAATGCCTCCAATAATAGAAATTAGGACAATATTTCTGACTTGGTTTGGTGTATTTACCTTTACTGATACTCTTGCCGTCACACACGGTGCGTCTGCCAGCTGCCAACATCACTCCAGTCACCACCGCCGCCACGGCAAATGGCAGCGCCGCTGCCACTGCCGCCACTGCCACTGCCAACCCTCCGGCCGCCGCTCCTGCCGTCACCACCCCGACCGCCGCTCCTGCCAATGCTCCGGCCGCCGTTCCGGCCGCCGCTCCTGCCAATCCTCCGGCCGCCGTTCCGGCCGCCGCTCCTGCCAATGTTCCGGCCGCCCCCGCTCCGGCCGCCAATCCGGCTGCCAATCCGACCGCAGCCCCGACCGCAGCCCCGACCGCAGCTCCAACAGGCACGGGATGCCCTTCCCGCCCGCCACCGCCGCCGCCACTTCCTGTAGAGATGTAGAAAATGGAGGTATTCAGTCATTCCCACATAACCAAGAAAATGAGTTGAATTAGTAGTGAAAGTTAGAATTAGTAACAAGACCAGACAAGTTATATTTTCATTTACTCAGCAGCGCTTTTGCTTTATGAAATGTGACCTTCACTCTGACGAGCTAAAGAGGCTAAAGAGGCTAAAGAGGTGGTACATACCCATCACCCTTTTGGATGACCACATGGTAAAAGCAGACAAATCATCTATTAACTTCTTCTCAGCACTGGATACAAACTAAAAACATGTATTCAAACCATCAACTATGAACGCAGCGAAAGCTTCGGTGAGGTGTGACGTATGAGAGGTCAGTGTTTGGCCGACGGTTGTAGAACCTGCTGGTGTAGTTTTATGGTGCAGCTGCTGTGAACGTGTCATCACTCACCTGGCGAGGCTGCTGTTGGTGGTTTGTCTCCCATTGTGGATTCAAAAGTTAATTTCGAGAACGAAGGACTTCTTTTGGGCTCAGTTCAGGTTGTTACCTTGGTAACAAGGAGTGAATCTGATAACCTGATCATTCAGCAAACGCCTGAGGAGCAATAAAGAACAGTTCACTCATCAATCTGACCATGTGGACTTTATCCATTTGATTAGATGTCGTACTTACCAGGTGAGATCTGTTTTGCTGTTTTTCCGCCTGCGACAGCGCCAAAGTCCACGCTGAGCGAGTCGACCTTGGACCTGCACACACCTGACACCTGTTCAGCCAGTTAATGTTTAACTGTCAAAATAAAATGCCTTCAGAACAGAACATTTCTAATGCATTAAAGGTGCTGCGAACATCTGTCGTTGAGCGTAGAACTACACCGTCTCCTGCAGGTATCAGATACTAAATATCAATACTAAAGTAATGACCAGAATAGATCATCAATAAATCAGGGATTTCACAATCTGATGATTAATAAAACTCTGCTTTTACTCATCTCCTCTACAACGTCACACATCTGTAGCTTGAGTTTGTTTCTACTCACCGACTGCTTCTCTGCTGCGAACCCCAGACCGAAGACGGACTCACGGCCACGCTTTGCTGCCGGTGCAGATCGGTGTGTGCGGGTAACTGAACACACCTACAGGGTGTCGGCGCACACAGTTAATGTTCAACGTTTCCTTCTCCTCTTGTGAGCGAGAGGGGAGGACTGTTCGGTCCACTGAAGGTAGTAAATCCACTCCCCTTGAGAGGGTGTCGAATGAAATCAACCTTATCAGCCCTGAGGGTTTGGCTATCAAAGGTCACAACTGATTCGGGTGTGTTGAGGCCTTCACTATGAAGGTAGTTGTGGCCTTCAGGTCTGGATGAGAGGAGAGGTTGGTTCACGCGTCTTTTGGTGAAACTCTCCAGTTTCACCAGTTAAACCTCGTCGCTGTGAAGACAAAACTACAGAATCCCTCGAGTCCACCTTCCAGCAACAGAGAAGTAGATGAACAATGAGGAAGACGCCTCCAAGGCTGCGATTTGGGTCCTGAAACTCTTGTGAGAAACGTAGGAACAGTTCAGAATTAACGACAAACTCCAGGATGCATTTCTTCAGAGCGACAGGAGGACAAATTCCAAGGTTCTCTCAACAAAGGACACAGCGGATGAGTCAAATGTAACTCAAGGAAACACATCAAAGGTTATTCAGCCCGTCCATAGACGGGTCACCATACGGTAGCTGGACCGTTATCTGGTACATGCACAAAGCTGTAGCTGAGGAACCCGAGGAACGTGAGGAACCCGAGGAACCTGAGAAACGTGAGGAACGTGAGGAACCTGAGGAACCCGAGGAACCTGAGGAACGTGAGGAACGTGAGGAACCCGAGGAACCCGAGAAACGTGAGGAACGTGAGGAACGTGAGGAACCCGAGGAACCCGAGGAACGTGAGGAACCCGAGGAACCTGAGGAACGTGAGGAACGTGAGGAGCGTGAAGTGAAGGATGAAAAAAACAGAACTGAGTCAACCAAAAATACTTTTCTCCACTTATTATTATTTGAAATACCTTCAGGACCAAAACTTGAACGTTCAGGTTCACATTTTGTTTTTCAATGATCAAAACCTTCTGCCTGGATTTGTCTCCAGATGTCTCCTGTCCGTCATGTGAATTTGTTCTCGTTCACTCAAAAGGAAAACCAAAGACTTCATGTGTTTTTTTTAAATGTATATAATCAAGCATCTGGATTTCAATAGAAATGCTTTTATCTAGTTTTATAAAGTGTCACGTTGTTCTGCTGGAGGAACCGAACACAGAGACGAGACGTTCAGAGGGACGATAAACTTGATTCATCAAATGATGTCCTAATTTATTCAGGAGCGTGAGTTCACGTTTAAATGTAAGTACTAGAGTTCAGTACCGTACGTAACACATCTAATAAGGTACTCAGGCCGACCAGACCGTCCCGTCCAAGGGACCACCTGCCATGCGGCCGTTGGAGGACGCGGCTCAGGTAACACTTTACAATAAATCATCTCTGGCTAAATAATGACAATAACAACCCTGTACTGCTGTGATGTTGCTGCTCTTCCTCTTCTCCTTTTACAAATTATTATTATTGTCCCTTTTGGAAGGTTATTCTTTTGTTTCAGTTTTAGTTGATTTAATTTAATTTAATAATTTAATATTTCTATCTTATTATATTGTATATAATGTGTATCTTTTTATTCTATTTTCTTCCCTGTACATGCTGCTGTGATACCAAAATTTCCCTCTTGAGGGATCCATCCATCCATCCATCTGACATGTGACATCACGGCGCTGTTTCCCTCAGAGATACAGGAAGCTGCAATAAAAGATGTGTGTCTACTACCCACGTTGTACACACACACCTCAGTGAGTTACTGGAGGTACCTTCAGGGTTTGGGGGTGAACTTCCTGCTGCTGAGTCCAGATGTGGGACGATGCCCACTGGTTACAGCCTTTAGGCAGAAGAAGAGAGCGACGGGAAGCAGGTGGGGGCTCACGGTGAGTAAAGAACGTGGTCAGCAGGGCGAGACGGATCCTCATGAGCGCCGCTTGGAGGAGGTCACCTGACCTGTGGTCCAGTGGAGAGGGAGGGGGGCAGATGATTGATGATGATCCGGGATTCAAACCCCATCGAGGAGCTCCGCCCCCCCCGTAATATGCAACTACGGTCCAATCATTATATTAGAAGAGTGAGTGAATTGAAAAGGAGCTGTCAATCACTCTGCTCAGGTGTGTTCATCCTCGTGACGTCACAGGCCCGCAGCACTCTGCCCAGGTGTTTGTACTCGTGACGTCACAGCCCGCAGCACTCTGCCCAGGTGCGTTGGTCCTCGCGCGTCACAGGCCGACAGGTGATTTGAATAATCCGTTTCCTCGTTTCTTCACTCGACTTCTCAAACGCGTCCAACTCGGACACGCGCCGAGGACGAGAGAGACTTCGAGGCCGAGACACGAGCGCGCACCTCGGGCAGCGGCACCTGAGCTGCGGGGGTGTGAGAGCGGAGCCCGGCCAGGTGATGCTGCGGCGCGGGCGGTGATCGCGGACGGTAGGAGCGGCTCATCGCAACCTGTGTGCTCCACGCACGTGTCGTGACCTCATTCTTTCATGTTGCACAAGTTAAAAGGAGCTGAAGTCGAATTCTGCACAAATGATCCGCAGTAAAGAAACGTTTAAGTTGACAAAGTAAAACGTGCAGCACTTTGCTTCCTGTTGCTTCACTTTCCTGTTTCACACCTGAGCGTTTACAACCAGAGATGCAGGTGGTTTGTGTTCCTCACTCTTTTGATATCTTTATTTTATATTTGTGATTGATGGCTGGAGTTTGGTCCCCTTGTGAGACCGTTTCCCCCAATTTTATTTTGGAATGTTGCACATTTAAATCTTTTGGAAACCTTTTTCTTCTAGAATAACAAATTTATATTTATTTTATTCCTGATTTAAGGGTCGATATAAGTCACTGAATCCCCTCTTATGGTGACCCGTTGTCCTATAATAAGCAGCAGGACGTTTAGCTGGATGTAATTTACATGAGGGCGACACAAAGGACCTCTGTGTTCCTCATGCAGCTCTTTATGTGACTTCCTCTTTGAGTGACAGGAAGGAGTCCTTCATGTCAGCCGATTTCAAAGCAGCAAAATTAAAAGGAGGCTTTGATCAAATGAGTTCTTCTACTTTGGAGTCGAGTTATTGTTTGTTCATAAATCTGTGAGAAGCTCCATGTGCTTTAATCTATAAGTGATCAGGTGAGGATGCACCCACATATAATCTATCTTCATATTGACTACACGAGTAACTAAGGACATTTTCTGAACCAGTTATTCGTCTACATTCACATGTCACCTGTGTGATGTATATTTTGGGGACCACGAATCTGCTGTGGCGACTGCGCCTTGTGATGGTGGTCTGAGGGGGTCTGCTGGCCTCAGGTGACCCCTGCTGGGTGCTCCTCTGCATCACCTCTCTGGTTTTGCATCTCATTTCCCTTCTGAGGTGAAGCAGACAATGCAAAGTGTGTGTGTTAGACTGGAGCCACTGCAGGACCTCAGAGTTCAGCCGGATCAGAGTATGAATGCACCTCTACGGCAGGCAGGAGCTCTCCGTGAGGAGCAGGACCTAAGGAGCAACCAAGTGTTAAAGACCTGTCAATCAGCGTGTAGCCCCGCCTTAAAGCATCCCCTCATTTATGGTCTGTTTGACTCTAAATGGACCATAAATTCCCAAATAAACATCATGCTGCGTTGAAATAGAGATTGTAAGTGAGTGTAAGAGATTGTGAGTTTGAGTTTATTGGTGTTTACTGAGGGAATGAATCCAGAGAGCAGTAGTCTTCTTCTAGCAGGAGTCGCCCCCTGCTGGTCACTACAGAGAATGCAGCTCATCAGATCAAAAGTTAATCCATGTTTTCTTTTTAATTTGAAGACGAGGCGCCAGGAGCATCTTCATCATCCTTCACGTGTTCATCTCTTCCATCACGTCATGAATCCTTACGCAAACACGAGACCACCTCCGACTTTGCCCTCTAACCCATACGACATTACCCACAATGCCCCTCTGTCGGCCACCTCCCCCGCGCTCATCCAGACGGGTCACAGCTCCGTGGCGTTCCACCAGGCCTCGGACGCTGGTCACCAGCTGGCGCCGCCTCCTTACTCGGGCTTTGTCCTCGCGTCCCGGTCCAGCCTCGTTCCCGTCCCGTCTCCCCCGCCGCCCCCTCCCCCCGCCACCCCCTTCTCCTGCCAGGTCTCGGTCATCGTCCCGTCCCCGGACCTCCGCCCGTCACCCCCGTCGACCCGGTGCGGCGAGGACGCCTCCCCGGACCTGGAGTGCTCCGTCTGCTTCAGCCAGTTCAACAACGTGTTCCGCTGTCCCAAGATGCTGCAGTGCCGCCACACCTTCTGCCTGGAGTGCCTGGCGCGCATCAACGTCAAGTCGGCCGAGCCGGACGCCATCCAGTGCCCGCTGTGCCGCGGCCTGACGGCGCTGCCCGCCCTCGGCCTGCCGAGACTCGCCACCAACCGGGACCTGCTGTCCTACCTGCCGGCCGCCATGCAGCGCGTCTACAGCGTGCGCTTCCTGCGCAGCAAGGGCAAGCTGGAGGTCAAAAGTTGGCGCTCAACCCTCACGTTGACAAGTCTTTGATTCTGTGCCGTTACTAAGATGTATTTACGTTGAGCCCCTGCAGGGGTCTCTAGTGGCGCGTTTCCACCGAGCGGTACGCTACGGGTCGGGTCGGTACCCTTTTATTTGTGTCTCCACTGCCAAAAGTTGAGAATTGTACCAAAAATCCGAACCGTACCGTATCACTCTTTGGGTTCCCTTCCGTTGGGGCACCTGGCACAGTGGTTTGGTACTAAAGGGCGGAGCTAGACTCACTGCAGAGCGTTGATTGGTTGAACGAGTGTCGTCATTTGCGCGTGCCGCAAGGGGGAAGACAACACACGTAACACACCTGCAGCATGCAGCCTTTGCTCAAACAAAGAGTGTCGTCTCCTTGTGACAAACAGCCACATGTGGAGAAGCAGGAACAGGATCGGCTGCACGTCCTCCATCGTTGTTTGCGTTTAGCTTTCAGTTTTCGCGCGATCGAATGACGTCAATCTACTTTCCGTCATGTACCACGTCTATCAAGTGATGTCATCACCACTTTCTGGAATACACCACGCCTATCAAGTAAGGGCACTGTTGGCGGTGGAAACGCTCGGCAAATCATGGTTAACAGATCCGACCCGCAGAGACCCGACCCGACCCGTACCGCTCGGTGGAAACGCGCCATAAGAGCGCTCAGTCATTCGGGTTCCTTCTCAAATTGGTAGAAATAGTTAAATGCTGTTTTTATTAAAACAAGTGGAAGTTTATCCTGTATAAACATTCATATTAAGTTTTCACGTCGGCTGCTTTGTGTTTGTAGTCAAACACTTTGATTCTTCCAGCGACGTTTTTAAAACATTTTGACCTGAAAAGACGTTTTTATTCAGTTGCTGAAAACCTGAACTTCTTTCCCTCCTTGAAGGTCATCCGAAGGTCAGCGGCGGTGGGGTCAGAGGTCGCTGACGTCCCTGAGGTCGGCAAACCGCTCCCTGGACGTGGGGCTCCCCAGCCCGCCGGCGGGGGCGCGCGGCGGCGGCGCGGGGGGGCCGGGCAGCGAGGGCGGGCTGGGCGAGGCTCTGTTCAGGCTGACGGGCCGGCCGGCGTGCCGCGCCTTCCTCCTCGCCGCCGTGGTGATGATGATGGCGCTGCTGACGGGCATCATCATCTACCTGCTGGCCTTCCCCAACGCGTGAGTGACGTCACACCCTCTCCCGCCCCAAACACCTGCAGCGTTGTGAGGGTCCAGATGTGCGGAGGGCTTTTCTGATGGTTACCGCGGCGACACACCAGCACCTTGTTTTCATTTCTCCACTGACGAAGTAAAAAGAAGATGGTCGACGCTGCGTCTCCGTCTCTGGAGGAAGCGGGTGAACATCCTGTTACTGACATGCTATAATAATAATAATATTAATATATATTTATACATCTGCACTTTACAAAGAGAAACGTCAGACGTCTCCAGACTTTCAGGTCGAATCCTCAAAGGTTTAATATTTCAGTTTATCACTTTATATTGTTGTAAAACGTCCTCCATAATGTTTAAAGACCGTGTGTTGGATTATTGTTTAATCAACAACGTTTTTATCTAAAACATTTATTCTGATCATGAAGGAACTTTTTCCCCAGAAAGCACCAAAGATTCTTTGTATGAAATCTCGCCGAGTTCATTAGAAAAGTGTTTTAAATCTGATTCACTTTGTGTTTTTAGGATTTCGCCAGTTTGTTTTACCTCATAATGTAAAATAATTTTTATATATTTATAACTGTTTTAGCAAAGCTTGCACTGTCGCCGTGTTTGAACTTTAATAAATTCCCAATTTAATAATTGTTGACTTTGTTTTTGTTGCTGAATCTCAAACGTCTTTTGTCCTCAAATGAACCTGATAAAACACTTAAACAACTAGTTGCTTTTCTTTCTAGTTTAGAAACAAAAGTATCAATAGAAAAGTATTAAACTCTTTATCAGAAGACGACCAGCTCATGTTTAAAACAAACGGCATCATCACCACGTTTCTTATTAACGTACTTTATTGTATCGGTGAGTATGAAACTAGTTTAAAAAGCATCAATGCGTTTGTCTTTTAAATAAAATGTAGATGTGAGGATTCTGTTTCAATCGCTTTAAACGTATGAATCAATAAATCCGACGCATCAGAATCAAATGCAACCTCTTATTTCTGATCTGGACCTTCAGAGCTCCCTGAGGGACGGACTGCAGGACTGGACTGAGAGGACACGTGTCTCCTGTACGAGGAACCGTTCCTCACAGACCTGCTGGGAGGGGGCGGGGCCCCACTGAGGGCGGGGTTTTGTTTCCATGAGGGGCGGGGCACGAGGCCCAGGTCGCCGGGTCTGTAGCGGGCCATCAGGAACAACGGATCCGGGGTCTGAGTTCTGTGGGACACACGGGGACGAATTACGGACCGGTCAGCCCCCCCCACAGATTTAAACATCTCAAGGATCAGCTGATCTGGTTCACGGCTGTGTGAACCTACTAGACGTGGACCTGGGGGGGGGGGTGGTTGTTATCCCGGTACCTGCTGTTTGGGGCTACCTGGTCTGAGATCTCTGTCCTCTGTGGAACTCCTCGAGCGTGGGTCCTGGTCCCTGGGGGGCGGCGCTCTGCAGGATCTCCCGCAGGCTCAGCATCTCCTCCCGATAGCTGGAGGTCCTCGCCGAGTTCTGCGGAGTTTGAAGGTCACTGAGCGATGAGATCTCATTGGTTAAATTAAGAATCAATTGCTATCTGATTGTCATCTCCTGCAGTAGTGAGCGGTCGCCCTGCTGGTCCAGGATCGGCCTGTCCTGGTGCTGCTGGTCCAGGATCAGCCTGTCCTGGTGCTGCTGGTCCAGGGTCAGCCTGTCCTAGTACTGCTGGTCCAGGGTCAGCATCTTACCTCCAGGGTGTGGCTGAGGAGGACGGCTGCTTCCTGCAGGACGGCCTCCAGGCTCCTCCAGATGCTCCTCCCCCTCCGGAGATCCGCCCTCAGGTCCTCGGCCTCCGACGTCCTCTGACGCTCCTCCTCGGTGTCAGAGGTCACGAGGTGCCTGACGACACGACACACGGGTGATGTCACACTTTGTTTAACCAGAGATCAAACCCCCCACTTTACGTGTATAATACCTGAGGCCGTCTTCCTCCACCTGCAGCCTCTCGTTGGTGGTGCCACCATCCTGCAGCTGCACCTTCAGCCGGTGACTCGTCTTCCTCATCTCCTCCAGCTCCTGAAGCAGCGAGTTGTTTTAAAGGTAAAAGACGATCGACCTTGTGTTGTAGCATCAGAGGTGTCAAGTAGAAGTATGGAGACTCGGGTTTAAAAGGACTTCTTCTTGTATCAACTCCAGCTTTTTACTTAAGTAAAAGTACTGGTTTTAAAACTACTTAAAGTATCAAAGTGAAAGTAATGTAAGTGGGAAAACAATCCATCAAGGACAAACTCTTAATGTCCGTCACATGTTCCTTCAGATCACGTGACCTGGATGATGGAAACATGGCGATATTCAGAGAGGCGACGCTGAAACTAGAGGAACAAATGCGTCGACCCTCATGATGTATAAACAGCTGCTGAGATCAGCTGGTCCTGTCAAAGGATCCGAGCACGCTGGCGTCACTCTGATTTGTGTCACGTGTCTGCAGGCGCATCGTGGAGAATCCCAATGGGGGTCTGATTGTATTTGTTTATATGTAGCAGAAGGTACAGGAGTAGAAGCGAGACCCCTGAGTGGTGCTGTAGTAGATGTTCTTGTTGACCTCTGACCTTCCTGCAGGCCAGGCTCCTCCCCCTGAGCGCCTCCGCCTGTCTCTGCGGGTCCTCCGCCTGCGACTCCACGGGGCTCTGCTGCAGCTGGATTACCTCCTTCAGCAGAGCACCGTCCTCCTCCACCAGCACCCGCACCTTCTGACGGAGCTCCGGGTGCTGAGCCCTCTCCTTCCGGACCACGTTCTGGATCTCCTCCATCTGCTCCTCCTTCGTGGGGCGCCACTCCTGCAGCTTCCTGGGGGGGGCGCCGCAGACGTCTTTGACAAAAGGGCATAAGATCAAACATAACAGGAGGAGACCAGAGTCAAACCGTCTTACTTCTGCCACGCCAACGCTGCGTCCCGCTTCAAGGTGAACCAGGTGAGCTCAAGCTCCTCCCTCTGACACACCAGCTTCTCCTTCACCGCCTCCGCGTCACACTGCTGCTCCGTCAGCTGCTCCGGCAACGCTGCTGCTGAGGGAGGAAGCAGAGGGGAGGAGAGGAGATGAGTTGAGGAGACAAGGAGGGGGGAAGAGGAGAGGGAACAAGGAGAGGAGGGGAGGAAGGGTTACACAAAGTGCTGAGATGAGGGATTTATTATTATCTAATACTTCAAGGCTTCTTTCATGATGATTCAACATCTGGATGTTTATCGCTTCTATTCATTACGCTGTGACTCGTGTGGGTCATAACTTTTACAATAACGGTGTTATAGTCCAAAGGTCTTCACCCATTAATGGACGTAATATTTTCTTAAATACACAACAGTAGAATATTCTGCTTCAATCCTTGTTCTTTAACGTTGTGACCTTAAATATACATGTTGGGTGTGGTTTTTGTCATATACATATATTTATTCAAAGCTTCATTCTAAATTCTTAATAGAAGTGTTGTATGTAAAATAGCTGCAGTTACAACATTCTTCTTTTAATACAGACTCAATACAGACATGTTGGTGCACGTTGTCCATGTTAGTGCACGTTGTCCATGTTAGTGCACGTTGTCCATGTTGGTGAACGTTGTCCATGTTGGTGCATGTTGGACATGTTGGTGCATGTTGTCCATGTTGGTGCTTGTTGGACATGTTCGTGCACGTTGTCCATGTTGGTGCACGTTGTCCATGTTGGTGAACGTTGTCCATGTTGGTGCACGTTGGACATGTTGGTGATTGTTGGACATGTTGGTGATTGTTGGACTTGTTGGTGCACGTTGAACATGTTGGTGCACATTGTCCATGTTGGTGCATGTTGGGCATGTTGGTGCTTGTTGGGCATGTTGGTGCACGTTGGACATGTTGGTGCACGTTGGACATGTTGGTGCACGTTGGACGTGTTGGTGCTTGTTGGACATGTTGGTGCATGTTGTCCATGTTGGTGCTTGTTGGACATGTTGGTGCTTGTTGGACATGTTGGTGCACGTTGTCCATGTTGGTGCTTTTTGGTGCATGTTGGTACATGTCCATCTTATCAAAATGGCGTCGTGGCAGACCTTGTGATACTGCAGGCGTCGTTGTCCACACATTGCTGATAACAATAAGCTGTCTGCAGATGTGTTCTCTCACCCAGCTTAGTGTTGTCTGAGTTCTGCTCGTTGATCCGGTCTCGGAGCTCCGTCTCCCGCCGGCTGTGCTGCAGCTTCAAGGCCTCTGTCTGCCGGTCGCTGGCTGCCGATCGTCGCTCCGCCAGCTCCGCCAGCTCCACCAGCTCCATCTGAGCTTCGCCAATCTTCAGGGTACCCGGCGATGTCCGCCTTGTCCGTCGTCATGGCGACGCAGCCGGAGGCCAGGTCTTTGTTGGGCTGCTCCAGCTCGTCACACCGGAGCTGAAGCCTGAAGGAAAGGAAGGCGGCTTAAGGGAGTAATGGCATTATGGGAACAAGGAGGTCGCCATACATCCGGTCACACTGGCTGATCCACCGCAAACTCTTTATTCATCAGGATACCACATGCAATGACCTCAAAAAAGTTCCCGATGGAATACAGATTTAATAATTAATCAATGAACCTGTTAATGGGCAACTGGCTGGAGGTGACGGTGCTTATTTTGTTTGTCTTTGTTTATGACAGACTTGTATTTAAAACACATTTTATCAAACTAAATTAAAAATGAATACAGTAAAGTGTGAGTAGCAGCTCAATCTAGAGGAGCACAACACTTTTAGGTTTAGGATTTAATGTATTTAATACATTTGTAATTGTCGGTATTCATACTGAATAATACAAATTAATTCAGCATTAATTATGAAATATTTAGTATAAATCACTTATCACAATATTTAATGTAATTCACAATTCTTTATTTAAATATGACTGATTTCAGTCGTATTGAGACTAAAAACAGTGATGCTACGTAACTTAGTTTAATTTATTGTGTGTTATATTACCGAGCTAGCATTAAACAGATAGTGATACAGAGCGAGCGTTACACAGCTAACGTTGCACAGCTAACGTTGCACAGTGAGCGTTACAGAGTTTACGTTAGCGTTACACAGCTAACGTTGCACAGCTAACGTTGCACAGTGAGCGTTACAGAGTTAACGTTACACTGCAACAGCCAGCTGTAGGGTTCTGTTATTTTTCATCAAACAAACACACAAACGCAGAGCATTTTAATGTGACATGTATTTATTTTTACATGTACTTATGTGTTGTACATTATCATTAAGCTAACTCAGTCTTACCTCTCCAACTGCTGGTCCAGATATTTAATTTGCATGGAATATATCCACTTCTCTTTGTCGTCAGAATCGATTATGTCTCCCATCATTGTATATTTGTCTAAACCCTGTAAATTGTTTGCTTTTTTGTTCATATCCACTCATTTATTGGGGCATTTTTCAAAAAACGTCCACAGAAAAAACATGAGAGAAGCTGACTACAGAGGGCATCTGTTGCTAGGGAACGCTGCCTTCAGGGACTGCTCGGAAAGTTAGCTCTTTAAAACAAAAGAACTACTCATGGTCTAACTATTCTGACCTTTAAAATATAGTTTAATTTAACTTAACATCATATAAGATTAAATATTATTTGAGGAAATTGAACTTTCTTGTTCTTCTGAGTTTCAATCCTTATAGTTGAAATCCACTTATTGTAAGTTGCTTTGGATAAAAGCCTCAGATAAATGACATGTGATGGAATGTAAAATAAGATTATATATTATGACAGCTCGTGGGAAAGCAGGTTATTCAAATTAATATTATATTAACTGTATCATGAATTGTTAGGTACTGTTGTTTGAGCAGGTTTACACACAGTGATCATCACAAGGACATTTGTTAATTATCAGGTTTTTTCTTCTTGCTTTTACTTATTTTAGGTCAAAAAGGTTAAGAACCTTAGAGGTTCACCGTCTTATATTAGCATGTTAGCATGAACACGTGTCTTATGTTAGCATGAAGGTTCTTTGTCCAACCGTCGGGCACCAGAAGCTCAGCAATCTTCTCCCCATCACAGCGTCTCCCACCTGAGTGAAGATGCCTTCAGGTACACTCCCTTATTTTCATAGCTGAGGTTTCTCCTCTGCACGCTACCTCCGCCTCCCTCAGGGCCGGCGGTCTGATCCCGTCTGTTGTTCTTGGCCTGTGGAGGACGACCTCCTCTTAAATATGTGCTCTTTGCACGAGAGGGGAGCCAGAAGAACGAGAAGAAAACTGACACGTCTGCATTTATTCTCCATATTGTTTTAGCTTTTTCATGTTACTTCAACAACATGGTGTCACGTTTGCTTCTTCTTCCAGCAAACAGAAAGTGACGTGTGCAGTGAGAAGAAAGTGAGCGGTGGTCTTGGTCCTGATGGACCTCAGCCTCCTGCCCGATGGAGGGGACACGGGGTCCTCAGGGCGTCCCGTTGTGGCCGCTAACAGCCAACAAGACGCCGTCCAGCCCGCTGGTCTCCAGACTCACCTGGTGGAGGTCACCTGTGTACTTTCTTTTATTATAGCGTTACGTGTTTAACACCAGGCGGTCAGGAGCGAGCGCAGCGTGTGACTCACTGAGCGCTGCAGTCATGTGACAGTGAAATCACCACGTGGAGACTTTGTCCACACGAGGGGGAACTTGCACCACGTCGCACCGCCCAGTCGGAGGAGGGTGCAGCATAATTCCTCCATTTTAAATTCCTGAGTAAGAATCCTTGGTGAGTTAAAGCCCCTCGGGCGCCAATCTGCCCTCAGACAGCGAGGCTCCAGATGGGCGTCAGCCGCCAATCACCGGGAGCTTCAAGCCCCGGCGTGCCGCCGAGAGGGACGTTACCGTGACGATGAGAAACAACACACGGCGACTCACAGTGAGATGAGGATGATGATGATGTATCAAAAGGAGAAAGTGTGAGGAAGAAGAGAAGAAGGAAAGGAGTTAAGGAAAAGACAGTGGAGGAGACAATGTGAGGAGAGGAAACGAGAGAGGAGCTGAAGCTTTGGGGGGTGGGGGTGGACGGGGGAGGAGCCTCGGAGCTGGTCGTTTTTCAACGGCGCCATCTCGGATGCCTCAAAGGAAGTGAGCGAGGTCCGAGGACGAAAGGTCGTAAGGGTCAGGACTCGCCCCATCGACCTCTGACCTCTGACCAGCGTCACTGGAGGAGCTTTAGTTCTTCTAAGATGCTTTTCTGTAGTGCAACAGTTTTACAGGATGCGAATGAAACAAACGTCCCAATAGATTATTGACCGTCTAAATGTGTTTGTGTTTTCAGCAGTAGAGCAAAGTACATTTAGAGGTACTTTTACCTGAGGTTTCAGGGCTCTACAATAATTTAAATTATGTTTATTTAACATCTACATGAAGAAGAATTCACCAGATATTCTACTTTGTGAGTACATTGCACTAACTAACTCTCAGCCAAACCCAGATGTTTTGATCATTTGAAAAAACAAAGATCTGAAACTTGAAGATTTTAATTAGAAAATATAAAATCTGAAACCAAAAAATATATATTATTACCCCCCAAAAAAACTGAGTTAAAAACTATATTCTACCCAGAAATACTTTTTATTTTTAATGCATTGTTTTATTTTCCAATGTTGAACTTCACATCTGTTCTTCAAATGATCAAAACTTTAAGCCTGGATTTGGTTCCATACAGAACTTTTCAACTGTGGCTTTTTCCTTTAATTGAGAGTAAAGGGTGTGAATACTTTTCTCACCACTAGTGGGCAGTATAACCCAGTACAAACCAAGTATAAACCAGTACAAACCCAGTATAACCCAGTACAAACCAAGTATAAACCAGTACAAACCCAGTATAACCCAGTACAAACCAAGTATAAACCAGTACAAACCAAGTATAACCCAGTACAAACCCAGTATAAACCAGTACAAACCCAGTATAACCCAGTGTGTGTTGTGTGCGTGTCACTGCTCTCATATAGTTATAAATGACCATATTTGGTCATGTAATTTACTTTATTGATCATCAGTCTGATAATTAACGTTGATGCAGAAAAAACACCTTATTGCAATAAAAAAATAATAACTTAACTAAAGTAAATGACTGATGAAAGGTCCTGAAAATGATTGTTAATAAAAGAAACATTTCATTCAGTGAAGTAAAGACGTTTATATTCACAGTGCAGCAGACAGACGGGTGACAGGCAGCACGATGTCATCGCTGACGTGTAACATCTCAGCTGGATGAATGTTACACACTGTTGCTCCACAATGACATCATCACTGTGGTGTGTGTGTGTGTGTGTGTGTGTGTGTGTCTAGCTAAAGTGACCCAGCCTCCTCAGCACCAGGCTGTGATCGGTCTGCTGACTCTCACGTTCCTGTTGTTCTGGAGGTGAATCGCTCTGCAACACACGCAAGACTTTACAACCAGGAAGTGAGACCAGCGCGTAAAGACCAACGTGAAGACGCAGGAACACGTCTCGGCCTCCAGTCGAGGTCTCTTCAGTGGGGATGTGCTCACGGCTCAGGTACGATGACCCCGTTGACCTCCTGCGGTTCCTCCTGTCGGCTCAAAGGACCCAGAGACCGAATCAAAGAACACGTCTTTGGACGCACAAACACTCTCCTTCCACCAGTAGTCGCAGCAGGATCTGTCCTCTGTCCTCGCAGGTCTGCATGGTCCTGGTTCTGTGGACGTCCTCGGGGACCCTGCTGCTCAGTCGTTGGGGACGTGTTCCCGTTCCGGGGGAACCGACCGCAAAACCCTCAAAGGTCCGATTGGGCTAAAATGAAATAAAATGAATTGAAATATTCTAAAGGAGCTTTGTCACAATCCAAAGCGTGTACTAACGTGTACTACTAGCATGTACTAACATGTACTACTAGCGTGTACTAACGTGTACTAACGTGATCAGATTTGAATTATGCAGAATTTCTGTCAACTCAAATGATCATTTTCACATTTTGTCACAGAAAGTGTTGGAAAGTAAGAACTTTTTGTTCATGTGTCAAATAAAATATTATTTTTAACGATGCTTGTTTCACTCTCCTGGTGGTGACGTCTCACAGGAGGACACGTGGGAGGACACATACCTGTAGATTATTGTTATATCGGACGGACAGACGACATCTCGTGATGAAAGTTGTGCTAAAAAGAACATGTGAGGAGATCCAGTTGATTACGTGACATTAAAACGATCACAGCTGCACTGTGGTATCATTTATTGATCACGGTGGTTCTACAATATTCTCATCATGTTATTGATTACGTAGCTCCAGAGTCATGGCTGTAACCCGGTGACCCTGAATGTTGATTTGAGAGCCGGGTGTTTTATTTCTAACGTCCGCTTCCTGTCAACGCTCGGCGGTGCGTTTGACTTGTCGTCGGGGGGCCGGTCGCTCGGGGCCCAGAGGCCTCTGGGACGCTGCGGGTGAGGAATATTACAGGAAGAGGGCGACGGGGGCGAGCTGCTGACGTCCAGCCGTGGTCACCCGCTTAGTCAGAGACAGGAAGTCCTGTTGGTTTTACTCACAGGGAACCCAAAGCAAACACAGCTGGGATTGGTCAGGTCCCTCCCCCCCAGGCCTCTGCTCCACCAATCACGTGGAGGCGGAAAATGACGAGCAGAGCGCCGTCTGTCCGTCTGGCGCCCACATTTAACCCCTTAATGAGTCACGCCTTCAAAATAAAGTACCGTTTCAAACCAAACAAAACAACGGCTTTAAAGGTCTTATTCATTTCAATGTGCTTCATGTCAACATTACTTTGCCGTCCCAACTAATAATCAATCGTCAATATTCAATCAGTCAAGATCACTCATAAGGAAGAATGCGTCAAAATAAAGTTCCTTGTGGGCTTTTGTTTTATGTTTCAGGGGAAGTTTCTTCTCTCAGAGCCAGAATGTTTCTGTATTATTCCATAAACACAGTGACCGTTTATGACTGTGAGACGGAACCTTCACAGAAGCTTCTTTATTCTTTCTTTCCAAAATGAGTTTCAAAGGATTTGAGGGTTTATAATTATACATGAACTATTGTTTTCTACTCCAGCGTTTGCTTTAATATTCAGTGATTTACAAGATTTAGCTGACGGATATTTAATCTACAGCGGCAACAAACGTTGTCAAAGAAAGAAGCCTGAAATGATGCGTTGAGGATATTGAAGTTTGATGGACGTTAAGTAGTCCTTTTGTTTTGTAATCCTTTATTGTATCCTAGCAACATGGTAGTGATGAATAAATAATAAGACGTTTGTGTGTGTGTTTATTGAATAAAACTGTCGTTTTTTAATTTATTAATCAGATTGTGAACTTTGGCAAGGCAAGGCAATTTTATTTGTATAGCACTTTTCATACACAAGGCAGTGCTTCACATCATAACATTTCATACAATAAAGTGAAAAAAATGCAGGAATTAAAAGACAATTAAAAACAGCAAATAAAATTATAAATTAAAATCTTATTTAAACTTTGATCTTTTTTTAAAGTGTCAATCACTCCTCGTGGTTTTTCTCCCCGTGACCTCGTGACCTTTGAGGCTTCCAAAGCTTGAGTCAGAATGTTCTTGTCAAATGTAACTTCAGAAGAAAACATTACATTTTGTGTTCATCTGAACCCTTTTTAAGTCTTCGTGTTCTTGACTTCAGGCCGAAGAACAAAAGCAGTGAAGGCGATAAATCTCCCTCTGTCCTCGGATCAGTTCTGGTGGGAAAACAACAACACAAACAACGCCGATGAAAACGACGGATGAACACAAACAATGCAACCGCGCCGACGGATCATGCGGAAGGGAACATGTGACTTGGTTGTGGGCGGGGCCTCCGCGAGGGAAAGACAGACGTTCTGCACGTAGGCCCGTCGCCGGGGCGACGGACCACCAACCAGCACAATTCCCGTCAGACGGTGACCCACATCACACGGTCGCCATGACGACCGGAGTCCGGCTGACTCCTCGGCTTCACGGTCAAATGAAATATCCAACTGAATAAACACGAGTCCCCCCAGACCGGGGGACACTGTGAGGACGCTGTGAGGACACTGTGAGGACACTGTGAGGACGCTGCACTGTAAAAAACACCCGACAGAATCCACTCAATAATTGTGAGGTAACAATTGGCACTGAGTAGATTTCACTACATTAAAGTTTAAAGTAAAGCGTAACTACGTTGTAGAACTAAGATACACTGAAATGAAAGAGGTAAAGTCTACGGAACACTTTATACAACTGATGACTCTACATTGTAAGCAGTTAATACCTAATAATTGTTAGTAGGACAATGTCCCCTATTAATGGTGACTTAATCAGGGACAGGAAGCTCGACTTGTGAAAATATGTCGTCAGGCTGCAGTTGTTACTCGCAGGTCATGAAGGTGGAAGTTACCAATTATTACACCTCTGCTGACTGATTTAAACAATGTGTAATAGGTAATGTGTTTTTACAGTGTGAGGACACGGTGAGGTCATGAGGACACTGTGAGGACACTGTGAGGTCATGAGGACACTATGAGGACACTGTGAGGTCATGAGGACACACTATGAGGACACTGTGAGGTCATGAGGACACTATGAGGACACTAAGACACTTCAGCACAGCCTCATGTCCTCCTGATGTCTCAGCATCTTTCGTTCTACTGGATGACTGAAGACGAGGACGCCGCAACAAGAGAATTTGTTGTGTCCAAAAATGAAGAAACTCTGGACGGACAAAGGACATGGATTTGGATTGAAAAGTTGACATCCAAAGTTTATAATGAAGGAAAATCCCAGCGTGTGACACTATTCTCATTATCCTGCTTCACTGAGTGCATTTTATTACAGTAACTGGTCTAATTTACCAACCGGGTCCTGCGTTTGTTTAGAATATACCACAGCCCCCCACAGCCCCGCCCCCTCCCCACAGCCCCGCCCCCAGCCCCGCCCCCTCCCCCCTCAGACCGGCTGGACTCTGTAAACTATTACATAACCGTCTGTGCAACACGTGGCGATTAACTGACAGCTGCAAGAAACAACGTTGTTGTTTCAGGTGCACAACACGTGGAGGAAGTATACAGGAAACATTTATTAGCCAAAATATGTCAAACATACAAGGAATTTGTCTTGGCGGTTAGTGCGCGACAGTAGACAGACAAGACAACAGTGCACAGGTAATAAAATAAAGTGGAATGAAATGCTAATGCAATGGGTTAGTAGAATAAGGCTATGGGTTAGTATAAAACAAGGGAATAAAGTTAAAAAATGTTAAATATTAAAAAGTTAAAGAAAAGTATTAAGCATAAAGTGCACTAACAAACAAGTAACAGACAAGAGACAAAGTGACAAGTGACAAAGTGATGAATTGCAGTTAAAGTGACGTGTGCAGTATGAGGGGGAGTGACCGGTGGAGTGTTATAGTCAGTCAGTGGGGGACCGGCTCAGTTGATGAGCCCGACTGCCGACGGGAAGAAACTGTTGGTGTGAAACTGTTGGTGTGGCGGGAGGTCGTAGTCCTGATGGACCTCAGCCTCCTGCCAGATGGAAGGGGCACAAACAGGTTTTCTCCGGGGTGGGAGGGGTCGGCTACCATCTTTTTAGCTGCTTCAGAGACCTGGAAGCGAACAAGTCCTGCAGGGACGGCAGATTGCAGCCGATCAGCCTCTCTGCAGAGCGGAGGACACGCTGCAGCCTGCCCTTGTCCTTGGCTGTGGCTGCAGCGTACTAGACGCTGATGGAGGAGCAGAGGATGGACTCCATGATGGCCGTGTAGAAGTGGACCATCATCGTCTTTGGCAGGTTGAGTTTCTTCAGCTGCCTCAGGAAGAACAACCTCTGCTGGGCCTTCTTGGTGATGGAGCTGATGTTCAGCTCCCACTTGAGGTCCTGGGTGATGATGGAGCCCAGGAAACGGAAGGAATCCACAATAGTGACGGGGGAGTCACACAGGGTGATGGGGGAGGGTGGGGCTCTGTTCCTCCGGAAATCCACAACCATACAAATTAATACTGCGTGTGTGTGTGCGTGTGTGAGTGTCGTCCTGCAGCCTCTTCACATGTTTCATGAGGTCACAGCTGGAGTTCAAACACAGAACCATAAACGTGGTCACGGGGTCACAGGGGTCACAGGGTCACGGGGGTCACAGGGTCTATCCAGATGAGTAAAACGAAATCAGCAGGATGAGGATGAAACTAGAGACTAACTGTGACTCGTGGAGGCTCGCTGACAAAGAGGACACTTCCTCCTTCGTCCTTTCATCAAGTCTTCAGATGTCTTTGTCCTCTAATCTGGGATCAAGTTCCTGGTGACTCGTCCCCTTTCTATTGAACATGTGGAGACAATGATAACAAACCTCCCTGTTCTATAAATAGCTCGGGGGGGGGTTGAGATGCCATGTGATGTAGGTGAGCGAAAGCCGGCCGCAGTGCATGATGGGACGTGTCGTAACCTGAGGTGAAACTCTTTGTTCCTGCGGGCATGAGCGCGCACGTCGAGGAGGAAACCAGGTTACCTGAGAACCACGGTCCTTTCCTAGTAGGGCTCCTCCCCGCCTCCGTCTCCTCTCCTCCACCCTCCTCCACCCTCACGGCCCTGTGAGCCGCTCCACAGGGAGCCTCGTCCCCAGCAGGGAGGTGGAGCAGCTTCTCCCCCCATCACAACGGTGCCATAGACATGTGTTTAGTATAACACAACGAGTGTACACCACATATATAGATTATAATCATATTTACACTCACTGTGTCTCAGAATGAAATAAATATAAAAATATATATATTATTCAGAATTATTATTATATATATATCATTTTAAAAAGTATATATATATATATATATATATATACTTTTTATTTCATTCTGACACAGTGAGTGTAAATATGATTATTATTTAAATCCAACACAGAGTTTTTTAAACATAACGTTGATTCTTCCTTCGCGGTGATTCAGCTCCGGGTGCGGAGATTCTCCGGTTATTCCCCCGTGAAGCAACACGTCGTCCTCGGGGCGGGGCCAGCCGGGTCCTGGGCGGCTCTCGAGGCGCACAAGCCGGCGCGCGCGGATATAAGAGCGGAGGCGCGCGCTGCCCGACACTCACCGACCTGCTCCCGGAGAAAAGCACCATGTACTCCCGATCCAACAGCGTGACTCTGACGGTGCCGCGGGAGAGCTTCGGCTTCCCCGCGGGCTCCACCCGCAGCACGGAGCCCGAGGTCTTCACCTTCGAGCGGGCGTCCGCTCAGGCCACCGCCGTGCTGTCCTACGTGCCCATCCGGCCCAGGAAGCGCTGCGCCCGCGTGATGTACCCGGCCAAAGTGCGCATGCACCTCCCGCCGCCGGAGAGGAGCGCCGCCAAGCGCTGGCTGCTGGTGCTGTGCCTGGTGGTGCTGTGGCAGATCTACACCGAGGAGCCCTGCGGCTCCGACCCGCTGGCGCCCGGCGGCGCCGACGGCCCGGTGTCGGTCAGCGACTTCCAGAGCTACACCTGCCCCCAGCAGTCCGCGGAGGAGCCGCCGCGGGCGGAGCTGGGGCCCGGACCCGGGCTCCTCTCCGCCGCGCCGGCGGTCTGAGGACGGCGGCTCCTCCGGGGGAGCGAGAGAGGAATCCCGGGGAGGATCCGCAGCAGGACGCCCCCCCCCCCCCCCCCGGGGGACTGGGGGGAACGGGGGGGACTCTACCCCTCCCCACCTGCAGGGGAACCGGCCGGGCCCACCCGGAGGGCCGGGAGAGACCAACCCGCCTCGCGGGGGCCAACCCGGCCTGGAGGCTGGGAAACGGAATTGGAGAAATAACCCATGGACTTGAAACTGGAAACTTGAACTCTTGAACAACTGAACTCGTTCCGTGGGACCGACACACTTGACTGCACTCAACGTTAAAACTCTTAACTACCTGTTGTCTAAATGTCTTAATTAGGTAATTTATTCTAATTTGCTAATTTATGATGAGTAATTTAATAATAAAACAATGTCTAAAAGAAGTTTCCGTTTGCCGCCTCTTCACTGTTTTATTCTTCTGATCTTGTGTTTCTGGATGTTTTTGATCATTATCAACACATCTGCTTCATATATATTTAAAACAAGTCTTGTTTGGAGTTATAATAATATAATTATATTATAAGTGTTATATAACACTTCACTGATCCCCAGAAGAAAAACTTAAAGAGAGAAAGTTAATGAATGCTGTGAGTCCACGATCACATACATGATAGTATGATAATACTGATCATTAATGTTCATAACTGAAGCTTCACGTGTTGTCTTTGTTTTAGTTCTCGGTAATATTATTAATTGTTATTTCTGGGAAACTCTGTAAGTTTTAAAAGACCCCAAACAGATCATCCTCATCATCCTGCTCACGTGGTTCCAGTTCTAATGTCCAGGGTTTGTCTTGCAGGATTACTGACGACACAAAGACCTTCATGCATGTGGACTAGGCTGAAAACACTACAGATGTTGACATTAATAACCCTTCTTCTCATGTCCGGAACCATCTCCATGTTTGAATGTTTGTTCCTCTGAGGTCAAAGGCTCATATGGACAGAAATCTTTCATGTGAGGAGCTTCTGATTATGAGTCCTGATCTTCTCTCATGTTCATCTGAGATTAAAACAGATACCAGATCAATGTGAACACGTCTGAGCCTCCTCCTCCCTAACCAGTGGGAAATCACCTCCACCCTCCTGCTTCCTCATACCTCAACCCCTTCTTCATGTGCTTCCTCATATGCTTCCTCATTGCGTTCCAGATCTCCTTCCTCATCTCCTTCCTCATCTCCTACCTCATCTCCTACCTTATCTCCTACCTGATTTCCTTCCTCATGTCCTACCTGCAGCTGTGAGTGCTTCACCTGGAGGAGGAAGTACTTCCTCACCTCATCATCTGTGTTATTAGAGATCAGAAAGATTAGAGAAAGGTTGTCCATCAAGTATAAATAAGTACAAGTAAGTTTGGTTGGGTCCTTTTTGTTTTTATTATACTGTTTTATTATCATATTATTAATATACAAACTGATTTTTCAATTAAATTCTATTCAATTCATTTTATTTCGTATGGCCCAAAATCGCCATTTACACATTTACCTCAGAGGGCTTTACAGTCAGAGGAGGATCCGTCTCCCGATGGACAGACTGCAATGATGATAAATAAGAGATGTACAATACATTAAATTCCTACAACAGAAATAATTCAAATATTGTGAGTAGTAAGCAGGTGTAGGGCAGGACCACTGAAGGGCCAACCACCATCAGATAGAACCTCCATCAGATAGAACCTCCGTCCACAGAAGCCTCTGGGGAGGGAAGGCACAAAGACTTCGGGAAAGAAGCAGAGTTGTTAATGTTGGTTTATCACGGCAGTACCAGCAATGTGATGGAGATAAGACGGTGCCTCCCCAGCAAGCTGTTCGGTCCTGTCTGACTTGATCGACAGATACAGTTGAGTATCGTCTGCATAACAATGGAAGTTTATGTGTGTTTTTTGATCGCCTAAAGGAAGCATATTGAGGGTAAAATATGGCGGCAAATCACTGTCAAAATTCGAGAGTGCAAATCAGGCTGATGCGCGTAAATCAAACTTCTGCGAGCAAAAGTTCGTCTCGCGCGAGAGATTTGCTCGCTCGCGGAACGTGAACTTCCCCGCGAGGTGAATCTCTGCTCGCGCTCAAAGATGTTTTCTACGCACTCGCTGTTCTTTTTTACAGTAAGGGGGCGGGGCCAGTCACCAGGGGGCGGAGCCAGTCACCATGGTATCTACATCTGATTGGTTACAAACGCCGTCTTTGGATTGGCTGGAGCGATGCCTTCACACAACTATAGAAGCCCATTTCTGCACTGAAGAAAGGGGATAGAAAGTCTAAATTATGAGATGAAACGGTGTTAAAACACAAACCACACGTCTCTGTAACCGTAGTGGACTGTAGATGACAACCATCGCTTACCATCATTACCGGCACATTAAGGCCGATGCGTCCAGCTCGCAGACCGGTCCGTATTAGTAAAATGAAGTCCAAATCTGTGAATATCTTGCCAACTTCCAATACCAAACGATTTTTGGAAAATCAAAATAATGAGGTAAGATATGCGCAGGCTCCTCCATAGTTTGAAGATATTCAAGATATTGGCAAGATATGCAGATTCAGACTGACGCGAGCAAGGTTCACGTTCGTTGGATTTTCGCGCGCGCATCAACCAGATTTGCCGCCATAGTAAAAAGCTCCGGGTGCGAAGATTCCCCGGTCCAAGTACAGAACCTTGTGGGACTCCGTGACCAACATTGATGGTCGTCGAGGATTCACCGTTTACAAACACGAACTGGGATCGATCCGATAAGTAGGATTTAAACCAGCTGAGTGCAGTTCCTTTAGTACCATGATGAGTAATGAGATGCTCTTGCGTTACGGAGAGCCTTCTTATACGTTTTAAGGCTGTCTTGCCAAACTAGCCTAGATCCTTCTGATTTGGTGGAACGCCGTAATCGTTCAAGTTTCCGCACAGTTTGCTTTAGGTTCCGTGTTTGAGGGTTGTACCACGGAGCAGACTTCCTTCTTGTTGCTATTCTTCTTTCCAGAGGAGCAATAGCGTCCAGCGCCACTCTCAAAGAGCCTGTAGCAGCATCGACAAAATTATCGATCTGGGACGGACTGAGGTTCTCACAGGAGTCTTCTTGTATCTTGAGGCAGGGCACTGAACTTAGAGCAGAAGGAATGGCTTCTTTAAACGGGGCTACAGTTCTATCCGACAAGCATCTACTATGAGATCAACATAGACTGTGGATAAATATCTATCAGATAAGCATTGACTGTAAAAACCTGAGAGGAGCAGATTCCGATAGTAGGAATTCAAAGGTTATTAGACAATGGTCCGACATGAGAAGGTTAAATGTTCTATCCCAATACATACGCCAGAACCAGGTCGAGGGTGCGGGTTCCTGTTCACTCTGACAGGAATCAGGAAACATTTATTTGCCAAAATATGCTAAACATACAAGGAAGTTGTCTTGGCGGTTAGTGCAGAAACCAATTGAATCTGTGAATGCTTGTTCATGAATTGCAATCAGTCACACATATTATCATTATTATCATCGGCAGCGGGCTGATGATAATAATGATGATGACTGTAAACAAAGTGACTCAAATCACCGGCTTTGTTTGTTAAATGACAAAAACAACAAGTTTCATCCCAGCGGTGCAGGTCCTGTGAGCACAGCTGCTTCTGATCCAGTGAGGTCCAACCACACACACACACACACACACACACACACACACGCACACACACACACACACACACACACACACACACACACACACACACACACCACACACACACACACACACACACACACACACACACACACACACACACACACACCACACACACACACACACACACACACACACACATACACACACACACAGGTTGTGGGGGTGTTTGCCTTAAAGGAACCTCAACCAGCTGATAACAACTAGAGGTTGTGGTTGTAGTCAGCCACCCGCACACACACACACACACACACACGCGCACACACACACACACACGCACACACACACACACGCGCACACACACACACACGCTGTAAACCTCAGTGGAAACTCTTGGCGTGACGGTTCTTTAAACACAGAGCGGTCACTGTAAACACACACAGGGAGCAGGTGGTGTTTCCATGCTGTGATGGAGGAGGTGGAGCCGGATGTGAGTCTAAAGCAGAAGCAACGGTTGTTGCGCTGCTCATCCACTTCTCTCCCACAGTAAGCAGGTTCATTACGACGCTGCCCACGTTAACGCGTAATAAGTGCGTTACAATGACGTATCGTTCGTTAACAGCGTGTTTGTTTCAGAGGGAGGAGCTTAAATACTGACAGACAGGTACTGCGCCTTTAAACGCACATTTTCACCTTAAATCTCTAGCAGACGATGTAGCTATTGGAACCTGTATCAGCCTGAAGTACTACGAACCTGAAGTACGAGCCTGAAGTACTACAAGCCTGAAGTACTACAAGCCTGAAGTACTACGAGCCTGAAGTACGAGCCTGAAGTACTACAAGCCTGAAGTACTACAAGCCTGAAGTACTACGAGCCTGAAGTACTACGAGCCTGAAGTATTACGAGCCTGAAGTACTATGAACCTGAAGTACAAGCCTGAAGTACTACGAGCCTGAAGTACTACGAGCCTGAAGCACTACGAGCCTGAAGTACTATGAACCTGAAGTACGAGCCTGAAGTACTACAAGCCTGAAGTACTACAAGCCTGAAGTACTACGAGCCTGAAGTATTACGAGCCTGAAGTACTATGAACCTGAAGTACAAGCCTGAAGTACTACGAGCCTGAAGTACTACGAGCCTGAAGCACTACGAGCCTGAAGTACTACGAGCCTGAAGCACTACAAGCCTGAAGTACTATGAACCTGAAGTACTACAAGCCTGAAGTACTATGAACCTGAAGTACTATGGCCTGAAGTACTACTTCTGTTGGAGAATGCCTCTGATGTTGTTTTGATGACATAAGCGTTACACACTAGTTGTTAATGTATTATTGAGTCTTTATGAGTCTTCAGATTAACAATAATAACTGCTGTCAGAAACAGTACTTATGACTACTATACGAATCAGTAATCTGATTATCATGTATAAACACATAAATACATACATGTATAA